CAGAGTGCGACTGTGCATGCATCGATTCAAGCCTTCACATCTGATCCAGTCCGATATAAACAGCCCTCGAAGCCACAGCCCAACAAACAGAGCCTAAAACAATCAGAAACAGACCACAGAAGAGCCGCACTGATAGAATGACGTAGGCTGAGACTTTAGGGTCATCACTCGCCCGCTTTTAATGGTCAAGAATGATAAAGAGAGTCTAACGGTTTGGGTCATCTCTTAGCTTTTAATCCCTTCTAACTCTATACCTTCCATTCATCACTCACATTACTACAGAGAATTTCCATTGTAGATACTGTACAATTCATTATAGATACTAGATAATAAGCCTAAAGATTATTAACTGAGCGCTAAGTTTAGAGTTTAAGGGTTTATCAGATCCTAAGGCTTATTATTTACTGACTACATGGAAATCAGTGCAGTTATTCCACCAATTTTTCAAAATTTCTGTGAAATGAAATGGTTAAGATGTAAAGCAAGTCATTCAGAGTGGTGTGACATTTCTGGAGAAACGTATCGAGTCAGAATTGTTCTCAGTGGTGGCGATAGGAGCCAGACATCTCCCTCTAAACGCTCCCTCTCAGAAAGTTATGACATTAAAAGGTTATGAATGAAGTCAGAGACGATAGTTTTGAGTACCTAAAACATTTATATTTTTAAATATATTCATGGTGGAGGGATACATGAAGGGTGTTGTGAGACAAATATGTCTTCAGATTTACCTTTTTTTCCCATCATCAACACTCAGAAGACACGCTTAGGTTCACAGGTGGTTTTGGATAGTAAATGAAATGGCTATATTTGTGTTGTAGACATCAAGACGTATAATCTGTAATGTGCCAGTTAATGAAAATATCAGCTTGATTATGAAACCTCACGATGCCTGAGATTCAGCGAGAGAGAACAGCATGTCGAGTGCGAGTGTGCATGCATCGATTCAAGCCTGTACACATCGGATTCCTTGGATCTCATTTCAGATAGCAACTGAGCAATATTCTCTGAGAATGTGAAGGAAGCCATGAGACCAGATTCAATCACATTTCACAAAATCTTACTTCACTATATGTCCAAAAGCATCCACAGTCTGACTGAGGAGTGAATTCAGCTGCTTTAAGGTGCACCTTAAGGCTCAATTCAGGCTCAATTCAGAAAAGCCATTAGAAAGCAGCCACATATGAGCCTAAGGTCACCATGCGCAATGCGAAATGTGGGCTAGAGGGGCATAAAGCCCCCCAGCATTGGGCTGTGGAGCAGTGGAGCTGTGTTCTCTGGGGTGATGGAGCTCCATTCAATACCTTGGGATGAGTTGGAGTGATCCAGAACTGACCATCCAACATCAGTACCAGTGCTTGTATTATTGTGTATTGTCTATAAATTATTTGTACATTGTTTGTATATTGCACGTAATACTAGACACCAACAGTTGGAACCAAATTCCTTGTTTTTTTTTTCAACATACTTAGCCAATAAATCTGATTCTGATTCAGTGGAAAAATGTGAAAAGCAATGCACACATAACACGTTTCCATGGTGAGATGCGGAATATGTGCCAAAATAAGAAACAAACCCTCTATTACACTGTTTTCACATCACTTGGCCTCTTTACTGAAAAACTATACCATGCAGATTTGCATTTTAAAAACGAGACGCTGAATTTGCATCAGAATTGAACACAATCCACCTTAAAAAGTAATAAAGGCATGACTGTATTGCTTTTCATTGTGCTGAACCTGACGTTAATTCAGTGTGATGGATCTTTTACTTTTCATTTTGGCATATTCTGCATGTTAAGTTCAAATACAATCTCCTGTTCGTTGCATTTCACTGTTTTGGTTGCATTTCAATGAAAAAAAAATCATCTGATGTATAAGAAAGACATCATGTGATGTGAAAGCAACATAATAGAGGTTTTGCTTTTCATTTTGGCGCATAACTCACATTGCATTTCACTGTTTTTCCCTCTAATGATTGCATTTCAATGACATAAATCTGTTTAAAGTGCAAAGAGGAAAGCAATAGCTGTGTGCTCATTACATTTCAAAGTGGACTGTATTCAATTCTGACACCAATGCAGCATTTTTAAAATGCAAATCCTCATGCGCTGTTTCTCAGTAAAGAGGTCAAGCAAAGTGAAAGCAATGTAATAGAAGGTTTGTTTCTCATTTTGGCACGTTTTCCGCTTGCCACTATAGAAAATGTGTCACCTGTGCATGCATTTCAGGTTTTCCCACTGCATTGATTGCTCTTCAATTTGGCACAAATTCCTCTCCACAGACCTCACTAATGCTCTTGTAGCTGAATGCAATCAAACCCTCACAGCAATGTTCCAACGTCTAGACGCCTTCCCAGAGGAGTAGAGGCTGTTACTGCAGCAAAGGAGGACAAACTCACTATCAACACCCTTCAGTTCAGAGGAAACGCTACAAACCTGTGGACTGTAATGAGAATGAAAATAGCATTCAATTTCTAAGGCCAGAACTCTTGTGGAGCATCATCTCTCGAGGCTGATCCCAAAGTCAAGTAGCTTTTGAAGTCTATATTTGGTAGCCGGCGAGAACTCGCCTCGCTCACCATCACTGAGGCTTAAAAAGATCCTCACTGAATATCAGTCTGATATAAACAGGCCTCGAAACCACAGCCCAACAAACAGAGCCTAAAATAATCAGAAACAGACCACAGAAGAGTCACACTGATAGAATGACGTAGCCTGGGACTTTAGGGTCATCACTCGCCCGCTTTTAATGGTCAAGAATGATAAAGAGAGTCTAATAGTTTGGGTCATCTCTTAGCTTTTAACCCATTCAACTCTATAGACTTACATTCCAAGCTCTCATTACTACATACTTTACATGGTATTTCCATTGTAGATACTGTACAATTCATTATAGGTACTAGATAATAAGCCTTAAGATTACTAACTGAGCTCTAAGTCTAGAGTTTTAAGGGTTTATTAGGTCATAATGCTTATTATTTACTGACTACATGGAAATCAGTGCAATTATTCTGCCAAGTTTTCAAAATTTCTGCAAAAATAAATGGTTAAGATGTAAACCAGGTCATTCAGGGTGGTGTGATGTTTCTGGAGAAACTTGTGAAGTCAGATATGTTTACAGTGGTGGTGATAGGAACCAGACGTCTGAAGAGTTTAGTGCCTGTTAAACCCCTCAGAGAGTTTTGAGAACCTAAAGCATATATACTTTTAAATGCACTGTAAATAATGGCTCGTCAGATCAAACTAAAAATACTTCATGTAGTAACAAGAAGCTGAACCAGTTTTATTGAACTCAAAAATTACTTTGATTGGAAGAATCGTTCATTCAGTGTAATTTTTAAGTTGAAAAAAATAGTTAATTTACTTTTTACCACATGTAGTATTTTTTAGGTTGATCTGATGAGTCATTTTTTACAACGTGTATTCATGGTGGAGGGATACATGCCGGGCGTTGTGAATCAGAAATGTCCACAAAAAAACATATTTCTTCAGATTTGCCATTTTTGTGCTATCATCAAAACTCAGACACGTTTTGGTTTCACTGGTGGTTTTGGGTGGTAAATAAAATGGTTATATTTGTGTTGTGGACATTGAAATGTGTAGAAGTCTGAGTCTACATGAACTACTGCACATGAAACCACTGCTTACATCTCAATTACTGAACTGTACAGATTAGTTTTGTTAATTGCTGTAATTCTCGTTAAATTCTGAGTCAGGTAAAGAAGTCTGGACCTCTTGATGGGTTCTGGTCCCACCTTTTTGCTCCATCTCAGGTCCAGATGAACCTGAACTAAGCCATTTGCTGACTACTTTTTGCAGGTACACACTTAGAAAAGCTGCTTTCTCAAGGGTTCTAGAGTAAAGAAAATGGTTCTGTATGGAACCATAAACGCATAAAGAATCCTTTGCATGATTAAAGAGTTCTCTGAATCGTGAAAAGGTTCTTCAGATTGGTAGAGAATGTGGTGTAGATGGTTCTATATAGAACCTTTTTGAAAAGCGTTCTTTGAATTGTTGAAGGGTTCTTCAGACTGATACAGAATGCGCTGTAGATGGTTCTACATAGAACATTTTTGAAAAAGGGTTCTTTGAACTTTTAAAGGGTTCTTCAGACCGACGGAGAATGCGCTGTAGATTGTTCTACATAGAAGCTTTTTGAAAAAGGTTCTGTGAGTCATGAAAGGGTTCTTCAGATTGATAGAGGAAGCGCTCTAGATTGTTCTATATAGCACCAAAAACGGTTCTTCTAGTGTTTACAAGAGTGACATTGTAACAACAGAATAACCTTTTTGGTGCTATAAAGAACCCTATTCAAATAGGTTCTATACAGAACCATCTACGGCACATTCTCTACCAGTCTGAAGAACCCTTTCATGATTCAAAGAACACTTTTCAAATAGGTTCCGTATAGAACTGTCTACAACGCATTCTGTATCAGTGTGAAGAACCCTTTAACAATTCAAAGAACCCTGTTCAAAAAGGTTCTATACAGAACCATCTACAGCACATTCTCTACCAGTCTGAAGAACCCTTTAACAATTCAAAGAACCCTTTTCAAATAGGTTCTATACAGAACCATCTACAGCACATTCTCTGTCAATCTGAAGAACCCTTTCACGATTCAAAGAACCCTTTTCAAAAAGGTTCTATACAGAACCATCTACACCACATTCTCAGTCTTCAGAGATGCAAAGAACCCTTTAATCATGCAAATGGTTCTTTACGCATTTATGGTGCTTCACAGAACCCATTTTCTTCACTAAAGAACCCTTGAAGAACCATCATTTTAAGAGTGTATGCTATGACACACCAACATCTAGTGGACCCCAAGCTGATGTCCAGCAAGGGGTCATCAATTCTGGTTCTAGGGTCCTTCAATCACCTCGGCCAACCCTGCTCATCACCTGCTGAGCTGGATCAGGTGCGGTGGGCACCAAGCTGTGGACCAGAGGAGCAGAATTGATGAGCAGGAGCAGGTTCACGCCCACGCGCGCGCACTCACCTGCATCGTCCTCGTCGAAGGAGTTCATGCAGGGGAAGTAGATGGCGAGCGCCTCGAAGGAGGCGGACAGGCTGATGCGGCTCTGAGAGCGCTCCATGTAGAGGCCCGAGGGCGCGGGCGCCGTCTCCGGCGGCTTGGGCAGGCGCGCCTGGCCATTCTTCACGCGGAGCACGGCACGAGGCGTCTTGGCAGACTTTTACCGGCCCCCTCGCCAGCAGACAGGGAGAAGAGGAAAAAGGACAAACGAACGGGTGGGAAGGATCCCCCCCACCCCCTCCAAAAAAAAGCCCTTTTCTTCCTGAGTGGAGGAATCCTAAAGTTCCTCGGCTCCTCCTGGAGACGTCCAGATGCTGGAGATGCTGATGGGGTCAGTTTTTGGGGTCACTCTCTGCTTTTCTTTGACTGCAAGGAGGAAAAACAGGTCAGGAGGAATGAGGGCGAGAACCCAGACTCATCTCAGGAGGAGAAGCGCACGTCTGGAGAGAGCTAGAGGAGCTTCAGCATGATCTGTTGCGTTGCTCGCCGGCTTATTCCTCTCCGCTCGGAGGGATGGAGGCGCGGATGGTGCGATGATGCGGCCTGAGAGGGAGAATAACATAAAGACAGAAGGAGAAGGAGATGGAGAAGCTCGTACTATCCCAGCAGTCTGGAGCTGATTCACTTCATTCAGCGGAGAGCTCTTTGTGGAGACAGAAAAGGGGGGGAGGAGGCTGTTGCTGGGATCCAGAGCGCCGGCCAATAGCAGCGCGGGTGGGAGGGGCGAGGGGGCGTGGCCTGCAGCTGTCACAATGGCTGCGAGGATGCGTTTCATCTCCTCGCTGGTCCTGGTTCTCTTTTGCCCTCTCTCTCTCTCTCTTTCTCTCTCCAGGTCTGTCTCTCTATCTCTCTCTTTCGCATTCTCTCCTCCTTGCTTCCCTCTCTCTCTATCTCTCCGTCACCCTCTCCTCTCTCAGAACGCAGCATTTCTCCCTCCGTCGACTCTCTTTCACCGCCGCTTCTTCAAACATCTGCCTCTGCAACAGTTGACATCACACGGAGAAACGCGTCGTTAGAGCAGCAACAGGCGGCGTGGAAGTCAATCCTGCAGATTAAAAGACGAATAAGGCCACCTTTCACACTGTCACAGCTCTACACACTTGGCAAAATTGGTTCTAAATGGGTTCTATGACATGTAATATTGGTGGAACCCTTTTTAGTGCAGGGTAGAACCGTTTTAAACCATGGACCACTGTGCAAAAGGCAGAGACCACCTTCATTTCCAGTCAAAATAAACTGTAAAAATTGCTCGTCAGATCTACCTTAAATACTTTATGTGGTAACAAGTAAATTACTACTTTTATTCAACCTAAATAAATACTTTGAATGAACGATTCTTTCAATCAGTGTATTTGAGTTAAACCCAGTTCAATCGCTTGTTAAGTAGTTTTTGAGGTAGATCTGATGAGCCACCTTTTACAGTGTAGTTCATGTTTTATATGTGTGTAAACTCAGCAAATAAACAGAAATTGTGCACAAAAATGTGCAGAAAAGTGTTCTATTTAGTTGTGTTTATCCCTCTGAGGGTTGATTTCCTCCTTTAAAGGCTCTTCATATATGTGCCGTATGGTTTGCACAGGCCACATTTAGTCTTTTTTTCCAATATGTTCAGCAAATAAACAGCATTTGTGCATTAAAATGATATTAAGTAGGCAAGTAAGAAAATATGTTTTAGTTGTTTCACATATTTTAAACCAACGTGATTTAAAATTAATGGACAATAAATTTGTCCCACCATTATTTCTCCACTTGCACGAGTCTCATTTACACATAAAAACGCGTTAACACTGCCACACCCCGTCCTCAACCAGCGCAAGCCATTCAAGAGTTAATTAAAGCCAATCGATAAACATGCGTTTTGGGCTTGGATTTAAAATCTGAGGATTCCTGTCTGATGTTAGTTGGGTGCAAAGCCTTGGCACAGCAACAGCAAAGGCCCGGAGGTGTAGCCCAGGGCTGGCCAGAGGTGGCCGGCGCCACCCTGGAACGAATCAGGATGTAACAAAGGCATGTCTGGTCGGTGAGAAATGATTGAAGTCTGAAGATTGTTCTCAGCTGGAAAAAAAAATGCTTTTAACCACTCCATTAATGTGTTGATCAGGTTTTAAATCAAACGTGTGCAGAAGTGTGTCTCTGAAAATGACACGTTCACTTATTTACACTTCAATCAACAACAACATGGAATTTGACCAGGGGCGCCCAAACTTTTGCAAATGATTCTATATACACTGTGCCTTCACTAAAGAACCCTTGGAGAACCACTTGAGGGTAAAGAGCTGAAACTTCATATAAATCTCTCTCTCTCTCTCTCAGTCTATCTCTCTGTTTCTCTCTCTCTATCTCTATCTATCTCTCTCTATCTCTCTCTCTCTCTGTCCCTCTTTCTATCTCTATCTCTCTATCTCTGTCTATCTATCTCTCTCTCTCTCTCTATCTCTCTTTCTTTCTCTTTGTCTCTCTCTCTATCTCTCTCTCTCTCTTTGTCTCTCGCTCTCTCTCTCTCTTTCTTTCTCTTTATCTCTATCTCTGTCTCCCTCTATCTCTATCTTTCTCTTTCTCGCTATCTCTCTCTCCCTCTCTGTCTCTCTCCTTCTTTCTATCTCTCTCTCTCTCTGTCTCTCTCTCTATCTCTCTCTCTTTGTTTCTATGTCTTTATACCTCTCTCTCTCTCTCTTTCTCTTTATCTCTCTCTATCTATCTCTATCTCTCTCTCTGTCTATCTCTCTCTATCTCTCTCTCTGTCTATCTCTCTCTTTATCTCTCTCTATCTTTATCTCTCTTTCTCTATCTCTATCTCTATCTATCTATCTCTCTGTCTATCTCTCTTTCTCTTTCTCTCTATCTCTCTCTCTCTTTGTCTCTTGCTCTCTCTCTCTTTCTTTCTCTTTGTCTCTATCTCTGTCTCCCTCTATCTCTATCTTTCTCTTTCTCACTATCTCTCTCTCCCTCTCTCCTACTTTCTCTCTCTCTCTCTCTCTCTCTCTCTCTCCCTCTACCTGTCCATCTGCTGGCGACCACAGTCCTCTTTCGGCAGGTTTCTCTGCTTTGCAAACCTGAGTTAATCAAATATTGAGAGGATTATAGTATTACATTGGTCCTGTTCAACACATAATGAAATTATTAATTATTATAATTGTTATAATCTCATTCATGCTACTAAACAAACCCAGAGTGGTAGCACTCATACGCAGGAACGTTCATCTTCCTCTTAAATATAAGGACTGCATTGACTTTTTTCATACACTTAAAGGGGAACTCCACTAATTTTTCAGAAATATCTGTATAGTTCAGTGTGTGAGATGTAAACAGAGAGATTCAGAGTGGTTTGGTGTGAAGTGGTTCAGATGTCTTTACAGTGGTGGTGATAGGAACCAGGGGTTGCCATGACTACAACACAAATATAGACATTTTATTTACTATCCAGAACCACCAGTGAACCTACACGAGTCTTCTTAGTTTATATGGAATGCTGATGATGGAAAATAGTGGAAAATCTGAAATAATAAGTTTCCTTTGAGCACTATTTTGCCTCACAGCACCCTGCATGTATCCCTCCACCGTGAATGTGTTTTGAGGCCAAAACACATTCAAAACTATCATAAAACAGTGTCTCAGTCATCAGGCAGTGAAGTCATAACTGTTTCATGTAGTAACTTTCTGTGAGGGAGCTTTTAGAGGTGGACGTCTGGTTCCTATCACCACCACTGTGAACAGTTCTAACCGAAGTTTCTCTAGAACAGAGCGTTTCACACCAAACCACTCTGAATGACTCTGTTTACATATTAACCACTTAATTATGCAGGCAATATGAAAACTTGGGATTCTGAGTGTCTGAAAAAGCATCCCCAGATTTTGTATTTGAAGGAGTTTTATCTCTCAGGTCAAAATGATTCTGGTTTAGTCCGAAAGGCCTGTGTGAAGTTTTGTAGCTGTAGCTGTTTAGTGAAGTTAAACTCCAGCAACTCTGCACAAAAATTGGGCTGAAATAAGAGGCAGTGCGCAGTGTAGATTTACAGTTGCTGTTGTTGTCAGTGGCTCTCTATTTCATTTTCATGATTAAATTTGGTGGTGAATTAATTTTTAAATGAAGAACCATATATTTTCCAAGAAATGGAAACTTTTCAGTTCTAAATAATGTCAGAAGCCCAGTGAGAACCTGTTTAAGCCTGTGTTCATAGAGCCAGGGATCCCTTATGGTCTTGCAAGGCCCCCACACAATAATGCAGTTTACACTGTTAGAAATAAAGGTTCTGTGCATTTCTCGTTCATCAAGGTACAAACAGTGTAGATGTTCCCTCAAAGGTCCAACAGTGGTTTTAAGGTCTGATTGTGAACCTTAAATACGTTTCTCCAGGTGAAAAGTTCGTATTTGTACCTTTTCATAACTGAATGTTTTAAACAGAACAGTAAAATAAAAGCCTGGAGACGAGACGGGGTGTGTGGAGTCAGTACAGCTTAGAACATATCATTTCAGTGGATTATGGTTCAGTTATGTTCCCTGACTAAAGGTACTGAGATGGACCCTTGAGGGTTCCACCCCAGTGACAGTTTAGTACCTTTATTTCTAAGTGTGTAAATATAAATAGATAAATGAATAAATAAAGACCTGAAGAGAGAATGAACCATATTTCACGAGAATAAACAATATTTCATGTTTATGTCCAGTTTCAGCAAAAACTGCAGACATTTTATGAAAGGAAACAAAATTAGCCTCATTAATGCACATTGCTTTACTGTGTGTATATCCTAAGAATTTTCTTTCAAGAAAATTTCAAGCCAAACTGGGTCAAAATACAAAAACAGAAATAGTCCTGCATGAATGGAAAGATAAACACTAAATCCCAGTTTCAGTGGCAACAGCAACATCAGATAATAAAAGAAAACCAAAAAGGGGCCTGAGAAAAGATAATAATCCTTAAATTATTTAGTCTCTTGCACATATTCAAGAGCTATTCATTAGTCTGCATCTTTTACGTTTGCATCTGCTGTGGATAAAATAAGTCAAGAAGATTAGAAAACTTTACTTTCCCTTAAATTTGCATGAAATGGAAAATTATCTTT